GATGGATGGATGGATGGATGGATGGATGGATGGATGGATGGATGGATAGCTTACTTGGTAGGTAGGCAAATAGATGATGGAGCATTTACTAAGCACATGTTATGAGCTGGGCACTGTGATAAGGACCTCAGGACATAAAATATAGAATATTAGAACTTGGAGATGCCTTAGAATATAAAGATTAGACTGTCAGAGCTAGAAATGATCTGATAACACAGAACCTAGAATGCTGGAATTGGAAGGGACCTCAGAGAATAGAAAATAGTAGGTCAGGGCTGAGAAGAACCTGAGAATATAAAACACAAAACATAAGACAAGGAACCTTCTAACAAGGAAGGTTAGAGTGACAGGAATACCAGAATATAGAACACAGCATTTCAGAGTGGGAAGGCAGTGGTGAACATAGAACACAGAATATCGGGGCAGGAAATATCTTGGAGCCTAGAACCTAGGATATTATAACTAGAAGGGCCCTTAGAATGTAGAAGCCAGGGTGTTCCAAAAGTTTGAGATTAAGACTATTGAAACACCCTGTATTAGAGACAGAGGAACTGCTAGGACAAGCAACATGAAGAATAGACTATTAAAATGGGAAAGGAAACTTAGAACACAGAGTGTCAGACATAGAAGAAGGGACCTTAGGACAGAGGTAAAGGTACATCAGAGCTAGAAGAAAACTTAGAACACAGAATGCTATAGCTGAAAGGGCCTTTAGAAACTCAAATATAGGGACAGCTAGGTGGTGCAGTGGATAGAGCACTGGCCTTGGAGTCAGGAGGACCTGAGTTCAAATCCAGCATCCGACACATAACACTTACTAGCTGTGTGACTCTGGACAAGTCACTCAACCCCAACTGCCTCACCAAAAAAAAAGAAAAAAAAAGAAACTCAAATATAGAAATCTCAGAGCTGGGAGGGGTCTTAGGACACAGAACATAGAATTTCAGATTCAGAAGCATAGAATGTCAAAAGTGGTACAGGAAAAGATCTTAGAAAATAGAAATGAGAACTGGAAAGTGCGTTAGAATATAGAAGATAGAATATTCGGGCAAGAAAGGACCTTTGAACATAAAGCACGATATCATGAGTTGGAAGGATCCCCAAAACATAGAACATATAATGATAATAGTAACAATAACTGGTATTTACATAGTGCTTTAAGTACTTTCAAAGTACTTTACAAGCAATATCTTAATTGATCCTGACAATAACCTCGGGAGGTAAGTGCTACTGTTATCTCTATTTTATGGATGGAGAAACTGAGGCAGGTAGAGGTTAAGTGACTTGCCCAGGGTCATACAACTAATAAGCATCTAAGTGTGTATTTGAATCCAGATTTTCTTGATTTCAAGACCTGATTTCTATCTAGTGCCTCATCTCATGTTCCTGTTAGAACAGCAAGGGGCCTTAGAACATAGAGCACTGAATGTCAGAAATGAAAGGGTCTTTGGAGCATAGAACTTTAATAATAATATGTCTAATATTCTATTAGAAAATAGAATGTTAAGAACTAGGAAGGACCTTTAGACCATAGGTAGACAGATGATATAGTGGAGAAAGAACCAGAATTAGAATCAGAAAGCCTAGGTTTGATTGACAGACCCAGCACAGGGTAGCTTTGGACTTCACCTTTCCAGGTCTCAGCTTCCTCCTCTATGAAACAGAGTTGACAATATTTGTATTATCTACTCCACAGAGTCTCAAATGAGATATTGTGCCTCATTTTAGTGACATTATGCCTGTGAACTAGCATTTCCACCATCCTGACCCCATTCCTTTGTCCAAGATACTCCACCATTGACCCTTAAGAAGGTCCCACTCACATAGAACGGCAAAATCCCAGAACTAGAGGGGAGGAACCCCAGAAGTCACAAAGTCCACCCCAGACCTGAGCAACAATTCCCTCTATAACACTTCCAATAGGTGGACACGCACCCTTTCCCTGAAGACCTTTAGGGAGGAGGGACCCACCATTTTCTGAAGCAATCCATTCTATTATTGGACAGTGCTCACTGTTCCAAACCTTTCCTTACACCAAGTCTACATCAGCTTGTCTTCAAGCCAAGAACTTTCATCTATTGCTTCTCATTCTGTCCACTGTGGCCAAGCAGAACAAATCTGATTTCCCATGTCTGAAGCCAGCTTTCAAATGCCCCATCCCTAACCCCAAGATTTTTCTTCTGCAGACTAAATATCACCAGGTCTCTCAAACAATAAACTCTCAAGGTCCCTCACCATCTTGTTCACCCTCTTCTGGAGGTTTTCCAACTTATCAATGCTTTTCATAAATAAGACACACAGAACTGAATATGGGATTCTGGAGGTAGCCTGACCAATTGTGAGTATAGAGGTGGCCTTCCTGTCCTGGGATGTGGCCTTTTGACTGAGTTCAATTTTTACAGAACAAATCCTTTTATTAAGGGGATTTGTTCTGTGAAGTTTGGATTCAGTCAAAGGGCCACGCTTGTGGACTTAGAGGTCCACATGTGGCCTTGAGGCTGCAGGTTCCCCACCCCTGAGGGAGTACAGTAGATAAGTGCTGGGCTTGGAATCAAGAAGACTTGAGTTCAAATCTGGCCTCAGTCACTTGCTAGCTATGTGACCTTGGACGGGTCACCTCAACTCTGTTTGCCTTAGTTTCCTCAATTGTTAAGTGGGTATCATAGTAGCACCTACCCCCTAACAGTATTGTGAAGATAAAGTTAGATTACACAGGTAAAGTGTTTTGCAAACCTTAAAAAGCTATTTCAGCTTTAAAACAATCATTTTTATCATCTGAAGCATCCCCCACCAACCTCAGCACATTCTGAGCATTAGCATTCCTGACCTGTCCTTACAGGATGGCTCCTCTCTTTGCATAAATCTGTTGCCTGCCGTTGCTTCCATATTTTGCATGTGTCTTCTAAAAATCTCAGCTGTTTAATGAGCTCCCTTTGCAGCCACATTATTCTTTTTAGACAAGTCACTCTTGTCCAAAACCGTCGCTGGATGGCTTCTCTTTCTGTGTGGTCAGCATTTCATTCTTGAGAACTTCCCCTCCCTCTTGGGCTGATTTTCCCCATAGAATTTTAGAGCACAAGATCATATTCACCTTTTCTTCAAATACTTTTAAATCTAAAATCTAGCCTGGGTACCCAGATTCTAAGTTGGAACAGTTATTGCCCTCAAATCTCAGCACCTAGTTCTCTCTTGTGAGTGAGAAGAGGGTCCAGAACCTCCTCACTTTACACACACACACACACACACACACACACACACACACACACACACACA